GGATGCGGCTCAGGTCCACGCCGGGGGCAGCGTCCATCTCCACGTTGATCTCACCACCCATCTGGCCTCGCAGGGCATTCATCTCCTATGGGGGAGGGGGTTATGGGTGTGGGCATTCAGGCCTGTCCCGATCTCTTACTTCCAACCCTTCCCAGGCAAGCTCTCCAGACCCCTCCCAAGGAGCCCTCCTTCGCTCTGCCTATCCTCTGCCCTCTGCCCCTCTTGTTGACTCTTGTTCGTTTGCTCTGTATGGGCTCTGCCCCCACCATCAGTCTGGGGGTTCCCTGAGGAGAGGTTCATGTCACCCCCATTAGACCAAGGGCTCTCCAAAGATAAAATCTAATTCTTAGGCCTGTACCCCTAAAATAGCCCCTCTAATTCCCAAACTTCCACATAGGGTCCAGGTCCAAAGGTTTGACCTGGAACAGAGACCTCCTCACTTATCCCTTGTCCTCATGAGGGAGGCCAGGATGGGCAGAAGAGGTCTCTGTGGACCCTGGGAGGGTCCCCAGAGGCAGGGCAGCAAGGTGGTACATGGAGGAGGCTACCCTGCATGGGGACTAAGGCTCCACAGACAGGGTAGCCCTGTAAGGCAACCAACCCTGGAGCACCTGCTCTGTGCTCTTCCCACGGTCTCAGCCTTGGTGCAGCCCCAGAGCCCTGCCACCCCCTCCGCAGCCTCTTTGACCTACTGCCCCACTGCCTCACCTCCTCATGGTTCTTCTTCAGGTAGGCCAGCTCTTCCTTGAGGTTCTCAATCTGCATCTCCAGGTCGGCTCTGGCCAAGGTCAGCTCATCCAGCACCCTGCGCAGGCCATTAGTGTCGGCTTCCACGCTCACCCGCAGGGCCTGCTCTGTCTCAAACCTGCAAAAGGAACCAGAGACTTCGTCTTGATGCTAGGACGTGCAGGTCCATGTCCTGGCCAGCACCCGGCCTCTGCCAGGGCTCTAAGAGCTTGGGAGGGTTGATAGGGGGTGGAGAGGGGGGTTGTGGAGTGGAAGCATATTGCAGCCCCATGGCCCTGGGACCACGCAGGGCAAGGCCCCACCCCCACCCAGCTTCCTGCATCTCTCCTCTGCCTCCTGCCTCCCATCCGCCTCCCATCCACCTCCCTGCCTAAGCCCATGACCTTCAGAATCTGCTGCATTTGCCACATGCATGACTAAGAGGTGGACTCCCCCACCCCTAGCTCCTAGCCCTTGCCACAGCAACTGTGGTCCCAGGGTGGGGAGGGGTGCCCCAGTTCCTCCCAGCCCGCTGGCTAGGCTCACTTGGTCCGGAAGTCATCAGCGGCCAGGCGGGCATTGTCAATCTGCAGGAGGATGTTGGCGTTGTCCACAGTGGCCGTGAGGATCTGGGGAGACGTGAAAGTGGTAAGGTCACTGGTAGGGAGTAGCTCAGCCCAGACCAGGGATATGAGATGGAGCTTCCTGCCAGGAGACCAGGATGTGGCTGCCTTCTCCAGGAGGACTCCTTTCCTGCCCAGCCTCTCACTTATACCAGGAGTTAATCGTTGGCAGAGGTGGAGCCAACCTGAGTCTGATGGGCCGAAATTTGCCTTTTCTCCCCCCAGGACCTGCCTCCCCCCAACACGGACCCCTCAACTAGAGCAGGCAACCGGCTGGGGTGCCCAGCTAGGAAGAGAAGAAAGACCGCCGGGGGCAGAAGTTGTCCCAGAATCCCAGACAGAGACGGGGAGGTGAACGACCCCCTCATTTTACAGTTGGGGAGATGGTGCCCAAGAGAATCCTCCAGAAGGGACCCTACAGGACCCCTCACCAAAGAATAGTTCCAAATCAGAAGTCATGACCCCTGCTAGGCCCTAACCCCAGACTCCAGCAAGCAGCTCTGCCCTTGGAGGTTTGCTGAGCCCCATTCTTGAGGGCGCAGTGGGAGGGATGGGGAAGCCACAAAAATCCCTAAATAAGGCACACAGAGGCCTTCCTGAGTTCCCGCCCCCTCTCTCCACCTCCTCCTCCCAGCAGGTGCCATCAGGAATTCACTAGACGCCTCACCCCACCATCCCTCTCTTGCTTCAAGAATAGAGGTACCCACAAATCTGGCCGCCCCATGGGCCCAGCCTCTACGTGCATCCACTCATCTTATCCTACAATTACATGAGGGGGTGGCAACAAGCCCCACGATGAGGAAATTGAGGCTCAAAGGAGCTCCATGAGGCCTACTTGTCCCTGGCCCAGCTGCTGCACCCCAAAAAGAGGAATGTGGACCACACGGTGGCTCCAACGTGGGCTCCCAGAGGCCAAACCAGCCAGAGCCATGCTGTCTTCGGCTCCCTGAGACCCTGTGGCAGCCCTCCCCCCGGGCTGACTCCAGGCCGTGGTCAAGGGCCCGAGATGGGAGAGGAGAAGACGTGCTCCCCCCACAGGCCCTGTCCCACCAGCAGGCCCTACCTTGTTCTTCAGGTCCTCGATAGTCTGGTAGTAGGGGCTGTAGTCACGGGCAGGCCCCGGGGCCTGCTTCTGGTACCAGTCGCGGATCTTCACCTCCAGCTCGGTGTTGGCCTCCTCCAGGGCGCGCACCTTGTCCAGGTAGGAGGCCAGGCGGTCGTTGAGGTTCTGCATGGTGGCCTTCTCCCCGCCCCCCAGCAGCCCGTCGACAGCCCCAAAGCCGCCCCCAAAGCCACTGCCAGAGCTGAAGTTGTAGCAGCTGGAATAGCTGCTTCCTCCGAAGCCGCCGCCCAGGCCCCCCGCGGACCCCAGCCTGCAGGAGCCGGTCCCCAGGCCGCCCGACAGCCGGCAGGAGGTGCGGGACAAGCCGCCCCCCAGGCCGGAGGAGCCCTTGATGGAGCTGGAGGAGGTGAACTGGCGGCTGGTGGTGGTCACGGTGGTCATGGTGGCAGCAGCCGGCACGGAGCAGGAGGGCTAGAGAGGAGCGAGGCCCGAGGTGCAAGTTGCAGCTGGCACCCGCCCGCCTCCTTTATAGGCCGCCAGGTGGGCGTAGCGATTACAGCAGGCTTTCTCCTCTGTTTCCATTCCCCTGAGCTTTCATCACCCCTGGCTGCCCGCCAGCTCCCGGGTGGCTGTGGGCCCCCTCCCCTCCCACCATCGGGCCTTTGCTTCACTTCTCCGAACCCTGGTGCTGGGTGTCTGCACGTGAGGCTGCGTGTCTCTGGTCTCAGGCCTGTCACTTGTGAGTCAGGCAGGCCCTCCAGCTATGCTTTCCCATGACCTAATACGGAGAAGAGGAGAGGCAGGACGTCACCGTCACCAGGCCCTCCCAGGCAGCTGCCACCCTAGCCCGGCCCACCTGGCCCCTGTGTCTGGTGGGGAAACCGGTTGGGGAACCAGGCAGCCCCCAGCCTGAGGCCACTCTCCTCCACCACGCACCACACGCAGTCCTGGCCCTGGGCCGGCGGCCGGGGAGGCAGTGAGGACCGAGACCCTGTCCCACCTTGGAAACTGGACCTAAACCCACTGGGCTCACCACACAATACAGTGCCTCTCAGGTTACCACCCCATTTTACAGATAAGGAAACTGGGGCTTAGAGACGGATAGGGCCCCACTGCCCCCACCTAACTGCAGAACGGGGCTGGTGGGGCTACTGCCTCCTTCATCCCCCACTCTGCCCCAGCACCCGGCACTCCCCCGGGGCCCGGCACACTGCCCCCGCCCTCTGCAGAGCCCTGACCCCAGCGAAACACGCCAGGAGTTAGGATTCCATCCGCCCAGTTTTCTGACACTGCCCCTATCCCCGAAAACCCCGGTGACCCAGCCTCCGCCTCTAACCTTTCCCCACCACCCTGCTGTAGGGGAGTGTCCTGGGCCAGGGCGGGCAAAGAAGAGTGTGGCTGTAGCTGGAGACCCAGCAGGCTGGGAGGAGAGCATCCTGGTAAAAGGGGACTGGAAAAACGGTGAGGGCCATGTCACCTGCCACCCTCCTTACCCCTCCTGTGCCCGAAGAGGCCTCAGGGTGAGGTGAGGGGCATATACCTAAAGTCCCGGCCACCTGGAAATGCAAAGGACACGGACTAAGGGTCTTCCTGAGAACCCCCAGCCGGTCTCCTCCCCCGAAGCCTCCCCCAGAGGCCCACCCAGGCCCCTGATGGGGCCCCTCAATATGGGCCCTGCATCACCCACAGCCCCACGCTGTCCTGCCCACCACTCCCAGCCTGGCCCTGGGTCGCAGGGTCCCCGCAGGCCTGCTGGATGGAATGTGGTCATGTCTCAGACTGCTGATGGCTTCCACGTCCCGGACAGGCCCAGAGAGCCCCTGCCAGCCCCTGAGAGAGGTCCCCCCACAGCCCAGCCGCTGCCAAGCCACCAAAGCAAACAGGACGCCCCCCACACTCACACACAGAGTGGCCACCCCGCCCCCCATACACCCCGAGTGGGGCCGAGCTGGTTTCCGGGGCTGGCTCAGCCCCTGCCACCCCCTCTCGTCCATCAGCACCTTGGACCACACCTTGGGAAAAACCCCTGCCCGGCCCCCCTCCCTCTGATCTTGAACCCAGACCTGCCCCAGGCTGAGGCAGGGAGTTCCCTGTAACAGGCATGGCTCCCCAGAAAGTCCGCGGGGCCCTCCTAGGGACCAGCCCATGGGTACCCACAGGGACCCACGGGGTGATTCTTAGAAACTTTCCCAGCTTGATGGGCTGTCCCATCCCTCTGCCCTCACTCTGCTGCCTTCTCTCTGGCCCTCCTGGGAGCCCCAGGCCTGGAGGAGGTGGGCAGAACAGATTGGCAGGTGACAAGGGGCGTCCAACCACTCCACAAACCATCCTCCCTCCCCAGTCCCTCAGCACACACTGCCCTACGCCAATGACCAGACCAGATCACACGAGGCATTGAACTTCAGGCAGAGCTTTAATAGCAGTCACTGGGGCAATTCCAGGAGGCCCCCTCGGGGAGGGGCTGCAGAAAGCAGATACAGAAAGGCAACTGCATTTGGGTGGTGGCCCAGATGGGCACTCGGGGTGCGGAAGTAGCATGCTGGGAGCCCGAGGCGATGGATACCCCATGTCACAGGTGGAAAGGGGCCTTAGTGGGTGGAGCGGTGGACCTGCTCTCGGGAGGAGAACACCTTGCCGTCCTGGACTTCTTCCATTATGGTGCGCACCTGGCGGGTGGTCACTGTGGCTGTGGGCCATAGAGAAGGGAACACAGGGAACTTCAGGCCCGAGCCCCTCCCCCAGTCTCCCGCATAGAAGGGTCCTCGGCATCTCCCCACTCCCTCCAGGCCAGATTGGGCAGGCTCTTACCTTCCCGGGTGGGCTGTGAGATCAGGGAAGAGGAGTACTGGGTGGCCAGGCTGCAGAGAGGGAGAGGGGGGCCTGTCAGGGCAGGGGTGCCGGCACAGAGCCCAGCCCCCTGAAGGAGGAGCAGCTGGGGAGGTGTGGAGCAAGGGGAGAGAGGTCCCGGCAAACCAGAGAGAAATCACAGCTGAGAATACACAGAAAAGATTAGCAACCACAAGGGTCAAAGGGCACAGGACTCGTAGGCAGGACAAAAGAGAGGGGACACCCCAAAAGAGGACCCAGGGACATTTCGTGGCTAACCACAGAGTTACAAGGAGAAGCTGAGCAAGAAGTTTTTCCATATCCCAAAGGGCCCAACAAATAGACTCTATTAAAGCTTGAGAGACTGTGGTTAGACTATAGGTGGACCTCACTATCACCAGGAAGCAAAAAGCTGGAATGCGTGACTTAGCGCGGAGGCTCCAGGACATTCTCAGCCACTTCACAGTAGGGCCCTGATCTACCCTCCCAGCTCCAAACCAGACCACCACCCACCCTGCTCTTTCTCCCATGCCGGGTAATGGCATCACCAACCACACAGTCATCAGAACCAGAAACCCAGGGTCATCGTCCTCCACTCCTGCGTGTGGTCACTCACCACGTACTGCATCGCGCCAGCGAGCCATGCTCGCCCCCACATTCAGGCAACCAGCCCTGCTGTTTTTAACTACAACACATCCTCTTCACACATCGCCTTCCTCTCCCTGCCTTCCACCGCCGCCTTGCAGTGGGGCTGCTCTGGCCGGACTCCCCACTCCAGCCTCCTGGCAGGTCTCCCTAACCCCATCGGGGCCCCTCTGATGCATTTCTCCCTATGCAGCCGGAGTGAATATTCTAAGACATCTTGATGATAGTACCACTCCTCTGCAAAATCCCTCCATGGCTCCCCACTTCCCACACGACCTAGTCCAGATGCTTTCATTTGGTCTTCAATGCTCCTCAACAGTGGGACCCCAGCCAGCATTCTCGGTTTCACCTCCTGCAAACCTCTGCGCCTCCTGGCCTTTGCCAGGGCTGTCCCCTCCGCACAAATGTCCCTGCCTGGATGCAGCGGCCCCCACCAAAGCAAGCGCGTGCCCCAGGGCCCCCCCCGCCCCCCCCCCTCACTGGGCGTCCTCGCCCTCCAGCAGGCAGCAGTAGATGGCGATCTCCTGCTCCAGCCGCATCTTCACGTCCAGCAGCACCTGGTACTCCTGGTTCTGGCGCTCCATGTCACAGCGCAGCTCACACAGCTGCTGCTCGATGCTGCCGATGAGCCCCTGCAACTGGGCCAGCTGGGCCCCGTAGCGGGCCTCGGTCTCCGCCAGGCTGCCCTCCAGCGAGGCTTTCTGTGGGCCAAAGTAGAGGTGGCCAGGTGAGACCAAGTGCAACCCTTCTCCAGGGCGAGGGCCCAGAAGGGGGACCCCCTGTGTGGGGTTGTGGGTGCGGCCAGCGCCCCGGGGCAGTAACGGGGGCAGAGAGGGGCCCATGTCGCTGAGTGTGAAGGGACAGGCTGGGTGGGGAATTCAGGTTCTCCGAGTGGAAGTCTGCGAGGCTGGGCCCACCCTGGGGTGACGTGTACAAGCCAGGGAGGGGGTCAGGGGCCCTACCATGCTGAGCTGGGACTGCAGTTCAATCTCCAGATTCTGCACAGAGCGGCGGAGCTCCGTGATCTCCGTCTGGCTGCTCTGCAGGGCCTCGGTGTTGGTGGCCACCTCCCGGTTCAGCTCCTCCGTCTGAAAGGCAGGGCGGGTGACGGGGGCTGGAGAAGGCTTGCAGAGGTGAAGCAGAGGACAGGGTCCACCCCCGAGCCCTGACCTCCCAGACCCACTCACCCACCCCCCCACCTCTCCCAGGCCTCTGTGGGGCTGCAGACACACCTGCACACAGACACCCTCTGTGCCCACCTGGCACTTAGCAGATGCACCTTGCTTTGCATTCGATACTCCTACTGGGCACTGCTCAAAGACAGGAACTAGATTTTATTCTTTGTGCCTGTTACTGTCCTGGGCGCTGTAGCTGCTCAGTGTGTGTCTACTACGGGCATGAGTTATTCATCCAAACGCACACACACCTACAAATGTGCTGGGAAAAGTCCTAGACAGGGATGACGAGATCTGGATCCGTTCCCAAGCCACCGTGTGGCTTGTGTGAGCTTGAGGCCTCTCTGAGCCTCCCATTCTGCATCTAGACATGAGCAGTGGGTCCAACTGGTTTCCAAAGTTCCTTCCAGCTGGGACAGCCTGTGGATCTACAAGTTTTCCAGCCCGTACCCGACACCCAGCACACGTATGCACACGTGTGCACACTTGCTCACACACGCCCACCCACCTTGCTGAAGAACCAGTCCTCTGCGTCCTTGCGGTTCTTCTCCGCCATCTTCTCGTACGGGTCACGCATCTCGTTCAGGATGCGGCTCAGGTCCACACCGGGGGCGGCATCCATCTCCACAATGACGTCCCCGCCAGTCTGACCCCGCAGGGCATTCATTTCCTGGGCAAGAGGAGAGCAGGAGCTCAACCAGGGCCGTTCCAGAGAGAGCCCGGGGCCTACTTTCTCTGCCTCCGGGAGACAGGTACAGATGGCAGACAGACGGACACAGACAGCCCAATGGTTCCTCCCCTTGAAGACAGAGGCAGATGTGACTTGTCTCAAACACGCAGGGCTGTGAATATGGACCATCTCCCCCAACACGCACTCGGGGATGGACTTTACCCAGTTCCGATGTGTGCTGGGTTAGGAGAGATGCTAACTCCCCAACACGTCAGGGGATAAGCCAGGACAGCCTCGCTCACCGCCCTGACTGCCTGCCTTACCCCCACCACCAACCACACAGTGCGGGCACAGAGAAAGCAGCCCCATGTTGGTATCAGCGCGAAGCCAGCCCTCATTAGGAAATGTTACTCTGCTGGGGGGATGCAATCCCTATGACCAGCCTCAAAGCCAAGCGGAAACACTCTCTGGGCTCCCCTAGCGCAGGCCAGCCCAGAGGTCAGCTGAGAAGGAAGCAGCGGGTTAATCAGTCCTCCTACAGGGTCTGGGATCCCCATCCTTGGGTTGAGCCTTAAGGTCCCTATGACCCCAAGACTCTCTGAAAAAGGGAGCTGGGAGAGGTGGCAAAGTGGTGGCGTCAGACTTGGGTGTGGATACGGGTCAGATAGACCTGTGTGGCTTTGGATAAATCCTTTAACCTCTCTGAGCTTGTTTCTTTACCAGTAAAAGGAGGAAAGAGCACCCTACCCCCAGCACCACTGTGGGTATCAGCTGGGATAATTGCCATGAATCACTTGTAATGTGCTGAGCAGATTCTGGTTGTTGTTATGACTATCACTATTACAATTAATTGAAGTAATTAGCATACATGGTCTTAGGCTGATTTGCTCATTAGATAATTAACTGCCACCACTCAATAGACTGTGCCTTGAGGGACAAGGGCAGTATCTTTGCAGGGAGAGGGCCCTCCAGGCTTCATGCAGGGCCCTCCAAGGGTCTCCCAGGGTCAGGGCCAGGAACCCACCAGAGATGGGCGCTGGACTGAGGGCGTGGCCCTTGCCCAGGAGGATTTGGGGGCCCCGGCCTTGCTCCTTGTAGGAGTTTGTCCCGCATTCCCCAGGGCCCGCCTCACCTCCTCATGGTTCTTCTTCAGGTAGGCCAGCTCCTCCTGCAGGGTCTCCATCTGCATCTCCAGGTCGGCTCTGGCCAGGGTCAGCTCGTCCAGCACCCGGCGCAGGCCGTTGGTGTCGGCCTCCACGCTCATGCGCAGGGTCAGCTCCGTCTCGTACCTGAGAAGGGTGGAGGCATGAGCCAAGGAGCGCCCCGGGACAGCCCCTTGGACACACAGAGAGCTCTGGCATGCTGCGCCCGACCCACCGCCAGCCCCCGGGGGGCAGCCCCGAAGCCCAGACTCATTTGGTGCGGAAGTCATCGGCTGCCAGGCGGGCATTGTCAATCTGCAGCACCAAGCTGGCGTTGTCGATGGTAGCCGCCAGGATCTGGGGGGCATAGTGGGCTAGGTGAGCAAGCATCGTGGGAAGGCCCTGCAACACCCTCCTTGCAGCCCTTTGGAGAATGGGCCAAATAGAGGAGATCTCCCCCTCTGTGCACCCTGCCGGGGGGGCTCCCAAAATAGTGGGAGCACAATGGCCAGGCACAGGTAGCCATGAGGCCAGGAGAGAGACCCATGCGATATTCACCCCTCTCCTGCCCAAGCTGCATGGACTCACTGTCTCCTCCCCAACTAAACTGACCTCTAGGCTCAGTTGCCACCTCCTCCAGGAAGCCCTCCTTGACTCCCCGTCTGGGTCCCTCCTTCCGGTCACACCTCCTTCCCTGCCCATCTCTTTCACGGCACTTCTCCCAACTGTGATTTTTCCATGATTTCTTCGGTTATTTCCTCCAATGGACTCTGCACTCCAGGGGGACAAGGCCTCATCCGTGACCATTCTCTTCGGAATCCCTAGCCCTGGGCAAAGTAGCTGGCCCACAGTCAGCCCCCAGGAAACATTAGTTTAATTAAGAAACCAATTAATTAATTAATAAGATTATGACCAGCCCCACCTGAAACCTGGAGCAAAGTTTTCTTTCACCACAGGGTCATCTGAGAGGTTTAAACGAGAACAGGGAAGGGGCTCTGGAGGGAGCAGAGGGCCGGTTATTATGACTACTGCTGTCATTGTGTGAGAAATGCCAAGAGGCTCCACTAAAGAGCCGTTGGGCGGCGGGGAGGGGGGAGGGGAGAGGGAGGCCCCTAAATGCTGCCCAGAGGGAGGAGAGAGGAGATCTCAGTGGAGGTGGCAGATGCGCTAGGAAGAATCAGGACATTTTTAAGGCTCCGGGCTGACGTGCAGAAAGAAGTAAGAGGAGGCAGCCCCAGCAGGCAAAAGTCGCCCCAATAGCCTCATTCTGGGCATCTGAGCCCCCTTGACCTCGGTCAGGTCCTGTTTCCAGAGCGAGCCCAAGGGCCAGTTTGTTACCCATCCCTGGCCTCAGTGGCCTACAGACCTGCCTCCCACCCACTTCCCTGCTCAGGAGGCTGATTGGGCCTAGCAGGGGCCCTTGTGAAAACCCCCACGCATGCGGTGACTCAGAGGGGCAGAGGCCTGATGCTCCGTGCACTGGGGGTTGGTGGTGAGCAGCTGGTTGACCCCAAAGCTCGGAACGCTGACTCACCAGGGCTCCCCTGGGTTCCCCACTGCTCAGACCAAGCCTGGTATCTGATCTGGCACTCCCGGGAGCTCTGCTTCCAGGGGGCAATTGCAGGAATTCCCTTCCTGGCTGAGGTCCCGGGCAGGAGCAGGCAAAGCCCCTCACAGGGCAGCACCAGACCTGGTTCCTCCACCAGGAAAGAGCAGGCCCCAGCCTGGCCTCCCCTAAACATCTCCACATTTCTTCGAACGTTCACCTGCCTCTGGGGGCTACGGCACCAGAGGACCCTCTAAGGGCAAGGCTTGGGCAGAAGACCCAGATGCCACGTTCACAGAATGCCAAGGCCCTGTGCTTAGAGGTCATGAGCATGTGGGTACATGTTGTGTTCTTCGGACTAACTGAGAGAAATGCCTTCCCGTGGAAGCTTCCAGTCTGAGTAGGAAGACATAGCTCCTTCCCTCAGGGACCCCCAGAGTGACCATTATGGAGAGAGTGAGGAGGACCCACAATGAAACCACTGGCGAGAATATGCCAGACTCTGTGAAATCAGCGCAGTGAACAGGGCATAGACTGAGCCACAAAGTGTTGAAGGGACCCCAAGATCTGGGGATAAAAGGCAAGTGCTACCCATTCAGGAGGGCTGCCTGGAGGAGGTGAGACAGGCAGAGAGCCAGAATGGAATAGTAAGAAGGAGATATCCAGCCCCCTCAGCCACGCCAAACTCACCCACCTCTGTGCCTTAGCCCACGCTGTTCTCTGTACCGGGATTGCCCTCTGCGGCCTTCAAGGTTCTGAAGCCTCCCCACCCACTCCTCCATCACTCACCCCAAATACACCCCCCCCACACAAAGGGAGAACTCCAGTCTCCCTGCATATGGGATGCTCTCCACGCCTGGGACCTGGGACTGGCACAGGACTGGGTTCCCCAGCGAGTGAGAGAAGAGTGACAGAATGAATGAACAAATGAATGATGGAGACCCAGGGCAGAGACGAAATGTTCCAAAAGGTTCAAAGTTGGGAGGGATCCCAACTCTGAAGCAGATACTAAGGACAGAGGGCAGAGGGCAGGGAGCTGCCTGACCCACACACCTTGTCCCGCAGCTCCTCGATGGTCTTGAAGAAGTGGCTGTGGTCGCGGGCGGGCCCGGGCCCCTGCTTCTGGTACCAGTCATGTATCTTCACCTCCAGGTCGGCGTTGGCCTCCTCCAGGGCGCACACCTTGCCCAGGTAGGAGGCCAGGCGGTCGTTGAGGTTCTGCATGGTCTCCTTCTCGCTGCCCCCCAGCAGGGCGTCCGAGGCGCCAAAGCCGGAGCCGAAGCCCACGCCGAAACTGGAGCCGAAGCCCTCACCCAGGCTCCAGGTGTAGCCCCCGCCGAGAAGCGGGACGAGGCGACCGACATGTTGCCACAGCTGCCGCCTCCCAGGAGGCTGGGGGCCCGGCAGGCGCCCCCAACACGAATGGAGGACATCCGAGAGAAGCCCCCACAGGGCACACACAGGCCCTTGACGGAGCCGGAGGCGGAGAACTGGCGGATGCTGGTGGTGGGGGCAGCCATGATGTCCACAGGTCAGGAGCAGGGTCTGGTCTGGACAGAGACCCCAGGCAGCCCTTTATAGCCAGGCTAAAGGGGGGCTCGGCCCCCGGCCCTTGAAGTCAGAGCCAAAACCCCAGCCACGTAATTTGCTTCTATACCAGCTGCCCAGGGCCTGGGGCTCAGGCCGGACATGCCGAGTGCATCCCCGGGGGCCCCCTCCCCTGCCTGTTCCTGGCCTGGGCAGGTGGCCCCTTAGCAGCCCACTGTCCGCTCAGAAACAAAGGTGGTGTTGGAGCCACAGCCCCGGGGTAGGGTGAACCTCCGTGCTCAGCCACAATTAGGCAGCTGAGCTCATTCCTGAGGTCAGTCCGGAGAACCCAGCCCTGGGAGCCAGACGGGGCCTGGAACAAGGCTCCACAGGCCTGGAGCCCAGAGGCTGGTCTGACCCCCCAACAAGCATGCCTGGGCCCCAGGGACAGGATGGAGAGATTCGGAGTGACACCCTCTCCCAGGTAGAATGTGGCCCTGAGAGAGCACCCCCAGGCCGAGAGGGGGTGGGGGAAATCCACCTCTACCCCCCAGCTGATGAGTCCACATCTGTGGGAGGGGACACAGCCCCTGGCCTGGGGGATCGGGATCTGAGGGCAATGGACACTGCCGCTGGCCTGAGGGAGCTCTGGATCCAAGCCTTACAGGAAGTCAGTTCACAAGCCTCAGTTTCCTCATTTGTAAAATGGGGGTAATTCCTGCCTCCCGTGGTCTTTGAGGGAACCTGGAGAGGTGGGGGCATCTGGGAAGCTGAGGTCAGGGGTCTGAGACCAGAGGGGAAAGAATGAAGCAGAGAAGGAAAGCCGCTCTCCAGGGGCCCCCTGGAGGAGGCGAAGCGGGGTCCGTGCAGCGCGGTACCTCGGCTGGCCTGCTGCGCCCCGGGGAAGGGCCGCCCCAGCGAGGGAGCGGCGCCACCCCCCACCCTGGCAACCGGCACCCGCCCGCGCCCAACAAGAGATTCCAGCCTAATCTCCTGGCGCTGGCACCAGGCCTGTCTGAACGGGGAGCTTCCAGGGGTGGCCGGGGCCTGAGGGACAGCAGGGGAGGGCGAACCTGCCTCCTGTGCGGGTGGCCTAGGCCCTCAGCCCACACACGGGGACAGGGAGGGACGGAGGCTTTCCGGGCGGGCCTGAGCACTTATGCCGAGGCTAGCCCGCGAGAAGGCCTTCCTGCTTAGAAAGTGGGGGGCCGGGGCGCCTGGGTGGCTCAGTTGGTTAAGCGACCGCCTTCAGCTCGGGTCATGATCCCGGGGTCCTGGGATCGAGCCCCGCGTCGGGCTCCCCGCTCGGCCGGAAGCCTGCTTCTCCCTCTCCCACTCCCCCTGCTTGTGTTCCCTCTCACGCTGTCTCTCTCTCTCTCTCTCCCTCCCCGTCAATTAAATAAATAAAATCTTTAAAAAAAAAAAAAAGAAAGTGGGGGGCCTCTCAGGCGAAGATGTCTCCTCGCTTGGGAAGTGGGGACAGCGCAAACTATCTGGGAGAGAGGGGATGAACCCCAACCTAACCCTGCTCCAGCCCTGCCTGTGAATTCTGGGGGTCCCCAGGGTTGCTAGGGTGGGAGGATGGAGAGGGGGCTCGAAGCCAAGGTGAGGGAGCAAGGTCAGACCACCAGGGTTCTCTCGTGAGGTGAGACATCAGGGAGGACTTCCTGGCCATCCGGGATGGTCTCCGGGGAGGACCCGGGGTCACCAGAGTGGGCCAGAGACAGGCCGTGTACCAGCTTATCAGCCTGTCACAGAACAGCACCCAGTGCACACCCTCCCCATCCCTGCTGGAGCCACACTCCCGGGGACCCCTCCCCCAAGAGCTGACTGACCTGCTCCCCTGAGGCAGGCCTCACTGGGTGTCTGCCTTCCACACTGAACCTGGAGCACAGCCACGGGCACCACGGTGCCTCTTCCTAGAGCCCAGAGCTCAGGCCTCACCCTACCTCCAAAGCTCCCAGACCTTAGTCTTGAGCCCCAGTTTCAGGAAGCTTCCTTCCTCCCTCCAAAATCACCAAGGCCTCACCTAGCATCACCACCATCTATCTGGCCCCCCTCAAGCTCCCTCCCCCCGACGTCAGACTGCATGCCACGGTCTGGGCTTGTTCTCCCACAATGGCGACTCCCAGGCCCTTTGTCTCTGCTCTTTGGAGAGAAATCCCCGAGGGCACCCCAACCCAGAAAGGCCTCCCATGCTGAGTGAAAGGGCAGAGTTAGACCCCAGAAGGCCTCCTTGGCCCTCTAGAGCGCATGACTATATCTGGCCTAAGAAGACCTGGATATTCCTCCTACACAGTTCAGGGACAGCCCTCACCACGTCTTCCCAGCAGTGTGGAGAGGAAACTGAGGCACACGGCACTTGAGTGGCGAGCAGGCAGGTGAGGCGGCTGGGCTTTAACAGCAGAGCCAGGGCCCCAGCAGCTCCCACTCTCCCTGCAAAGAGGGGGGAAGGTCTGACAGGAGCCCGCCGGAGGGCTGCACAGAGGTCCTCTCAGCCATGACACCTCCTGCCTGGGCTTGTCCTCCACCCCCGGCAGGGAGAGGCCCCTGGCAGCCAAGCACCAGACCCACAGCCCCCGCAATCGTCAGCTGCTTGGCCCACACGGAGGATGAGAAGGAAAGGAGGAAGAGCTCCAGCCCCAGACGCTGCTGAGAGTTGAGCACAGTGGTGGAGGGAACCAGAGGAGGAAGCTAGGGCGTGGCTGGGATAACCCCCAGAATCCCCCAGAGTGCCTTCATGCCAGCCAAGACTTGGCTAACCCCAGAGACAGGCCTTGCCTCAGATTTGAGCAGAACCAGGGTGTGGGGAGAGGATTCTGTGATGTTGATGGAAGCCTCAGAGTGTAGAGTAACCTGGGGGCCCTGGTATACAGTTGATGTTCAATAAATGCATGTTAAGGGGCGCCTGACTGGCTCAGTCGGAAGAGCGTTTGACTCTCAATATCCAGGTCATGAGTTCGAGCTTCACATTGGGTGTAGAGATTACCTAAATAAATAAATACACTTAAAAAAATAGATGCATATTAATACTGACAAAGGTCATACCACATCAGCCCAGCTGACCTTGGCTCCTAGAGCTCCCCTCGCAAGCATTAACTGTCACCCCCTTGGACAGTGCCCACCCCCCACCCCATCCAGAACCCAGGGCACTGCCTGGTCGCAGCAGGTGCTCTAAAGTGCTTGTTGAGTCATTCGGAAGATGGAGGCTGGGCAGTGGTGACTAGGGTGGAGACAGGGACCCGAATAGGAAACATGGCCACCTCCCCTCTCCACCAAGGAAAAGGATCCATATCAGGTGAGGTCAGGAAAGTGAGAGGCCCAGGAGTCCGGGGGTAGGCTCCCCGCTGGGACCTTGGCTTAGCTGATGAGGAGAGGGACCCCAAATCCTTCAGGGGTCCCGAAGACCTTCACTCGACCCGCAGACCCCTGCCATTAGGATACCTGTCCGCTCCTCTCCACGTACTACAGACTCGGAGACCTTCTCACCTCTCCTCTGTGGGAACCTGGCCTGGGATGGGAGAGGGGCCACCGAGGAGCCCACAGGCCCCTGCCTGGCCAGCGTGGCCTCAACCACACCTGCCCTCAGGTGGAATCCTCTTCTTCCTCTAGCCTTTCCTCAGCCTCTGTCCCAGGACCCGAGGCCCCAGGACCACCCCACCCAGATCCACCCACGGAGGGTTTTTGTCTAGCTCCAAAGAGAGCCCCACCCTCCACTCCAGGGGCTGTGGGAGATGGGGAACATTCTCGGGGCTCCTCAGAGTCTCCTCCCAGTTAGGAGAGTCAGAGGTGGGGGGGCCCCCAGTGTCCCCTTACACACCAGGGGTCTCTGGGTGCTCTCTCCTCAGACACAAGCAGACTCAGCCACCTCCCTCTGACTGGTTTCCAGGAACCTCCAGCCTGGGATGGACCCATCACAGCACCCAGAACACCTCCCCTTTCCCGGAAGAGCCACATGAGCTACCCGGGGCCCTTCCCCAAAAAGGACCCAGAGGCCTGAGTGGCCCAGATGGGACCCAGGCAGGAAGACAGGGCAAGGGAAGAGGGAATGGGCGGAGAGGAAGTCTGGGGAGGGGAACCCTGGGCCTGAGAGAGGCATGTGTGGGAACTCTTGCTGCTTCCCGCGGGCTAGAAGGCTCCAGCCTGACAGGACCGACTTCTTCCCTCTGCCCTTCTCTCCTTCCTTCCCTTTTCCTCCCTCCCTGTCCTTCCGTCCTCTTCTCCTTCCCTCTTTCCATTCCCCCTTCCCTGGCCTGAAGGCAGCAGCCTGGGGCTCACTCCCCCTCCCCACTTTACCTTGCAAACTGGCTGAGGGGGCCCTAGAGCCTGAGGGAACAGAAGTCAGATCCTGAAAGGGCTCCAGGCTCCTTCCCGCCTTCCAGACCCACCTTCCAGGGCCCTCAGGCCCTGCCCCACCTCACCACTCTGTTCTTTACCTGAGAGGCCAGTCACTTCCTATTTTTTTTTTTGCTTTTTTTTTTTAAAGGTTTTATTTATTTATTTGAGAGAGAGAGAATGAG